TCTACCGAGACACGCTAGTTCTCACTTTTATCTACTTTCAGAATGTTATAACGCTTCAATTGATACTATAACAAATAATCGACGCTATTGCTTTCATTTTCTTGTTCCCTTTTCCTATGCCTCCGTCTTTCTGTCCCTTTGAATTCTTCTCTCGGTGTCTCCATTTTGCCCCCTTATCTCTTGTGTTCCCTTCTACCTTTCTCTCTCTCTCTCTCTCTCTCTCTCTCTCTCTCTCTCTCTCACTCTTACTGCCTAGCTTCCACCACATCCCATTTCGCTCTATCTCTCTTTCTCCCTCTCTTTCGGTTTTTATTTTCTGATCATACTCTTTCGATACCTCACTCTTGTGGCCTCTCTCTTTGTTTCTTAATTTATCTCAATTTCCGTAAGCGTCTTTTATCCGATTTTATAGCATATCTTTTTTTTTTTTTTTGCCAATCTTTCCTCGCTGTCTCTCTTCACCACGCCAATCCACTCCAGTCATTCCCCCCTCCCCCACTGTTTCTCATTTCATTTTCAAATACCTTTGAAAAGGGTTTATGCAAAAAATGCTTTCCCTAGCGTGTTGCTCTCGTTCGCTTATTTTTGGACTGGAATAAATTCAACTTTAAGTCCATTAAGCCGCAGTCAATCAGCAAGGACAATATTTTTGCCTTTTCGCCATTTGGGGAAAAATTAAAACTGGCCACAGACAACAACAACAGCACGCGGAAATAAAATCATTTACATATTCCTTTCGTTCTTTTTTAATGTTTCGTGTTTTTGTGTTTTTTTTCCTGTTTACAAAAATTTGTTGTCCTTAATTTCCATTTATTCTGGTCATTTTTATTTTATTTTTTTTGCTTTACCACTTTGGCACTGCCAAAATAAACTATCCATGAATTTATGTATGGGAGTAAAAACGCAACATGGGAATGCAGGCCCATACCCCGGGCACGCCCCCGAACACGAATGCCCGAAGTTTGGGGCACACACGGAAAAAAAGAGAAGAAGGAGCAAACAATGAAAATGCTCGCAATGAAATGCATTGAAAATTGAAAATCAATGAACTGTTATAATAACTTGCTGCAGCGTCAGGAGGAGCCCTTGCATATCTATCTGCAGCATATGTGCATATGAGCTCGCATGGCTACATATGTATGTATGTAGAATGTATATACATACATATTGATAGGTACGTACAGACCCTTAAATGCATATGCACTGTGCAGGCTCCCTGAGAGAGAGAGTGAGAAAAGGGGGGGGGGGGGGGGGGGGGGGG